TAAATTAATCATATTTCGCGCTTATTCCTTGGAAGTGAGTGCCAATCCACTTTCCAGGGTATCGGCACTTGATAATGTCCATCAAGTAATACTGTTTGTTTGTCAGTAGTTTCCATAATGGTCCTATCACATAGGGACATGGTAACTTTATCAGAGTACTTATTTTCAGAAAATTCATGTTCAAATAATTTGAGAATATCCTCTTCGACGGGATTTCTTGCTTCTTAACAGTTTATGAAGGCTGAAGTTTTACTAAGTTGACCCGTCGTTCCAAATAAAGCCCGTCCTGACATAGTTAGTGAGGCATAGGGTTGTTTAGGTTTCCCGATACGCTGATCGATGACCCAGTGGGCCTCTGGGACATTGACACCAAGTAACAAACCGACATTATCACAGTCCATGGTGGGTAGCTGTATACCTTTCAAGTGTTTCCATCTTTCTTGGATGTTCGTTGGTGGGATTTCTGCCCTTTTAATAGGTAGGTTATTTATAGCATATGCACCTTCGATTTTTATTCGATTAGTCGTATCTAAAGATTCGATCTTGAAATTAACAAGTTCAGCGTTCTGGGACGACGCCCCAATTACATAAGATATGTTCAATCTTGTCACTGTACCCGAAATTCCTACCTGCTTTGCCACATCACTGAGCAGTAGTGTCGAGTCCGAGCCATTATCCAATAATGCATAGGTATCCACATGTCCTGTGGGACCATGTAACCTGACTGGTACAAATCCTAAATACGTTCCAGCAGAATAAGTAGAATTACAGCATGTTTGTTTAGCATCAGGTTCTGTGTTGTGAAGAATTCTATGATGACGTCGCTTGCAGCCATCGATTTCACACAACACGGATTGCCGACAGTCTTTTGCTCGATGATTGGGTTTTAAATAATTAAAGGAAAGTTTAAACTTCTTCAGTAATTCTAGCCTTTCGTTGTGACTTACTGCTAGCAGTTGGGCAAGACACGACTTCGTGGGTATCAGAGCAAATTACGCAATGAACCTTTCCTTTGCTCGACGATGTATGAATCTTAGCTCCAGTGGGAGCAGACCGGTTGTTCGATGTCGTTTGAGTTTTGTAGCTCCCACTTGCTAGCTGTCCGTAAGTGTTCGTGGCAACTGACACTTTCTTTTCCAAGAATTGCAACAAACCATCAAAATTAGGTTCTAGACCCCTTCTTTAGAATATCGTCTACAGCTTCCGCCCATTTAAACTGTATTTTTCGTGGAAGTCGTCTCACTATTCGTTTTAGATTGGTCGAACAATTCAGATCGGCATTTCTGCCCATCTGTGTCAAGGCTATCTTACAGTTAGTCATGAGTCATGTTAGTTTCCGTAGTCCCGATATATCGTCTTGATTTAGTGGCACTCCATTTAACAACTCTGTTAAGAACGCTTCTACTATGTCATGTGGTTTGCCGAACTGGTTGTGTAGAATGTTAATAGCTTTGGTATAACCTTCTCCTTCTGGTAATAAAACACAGTGCTCTATAGCGTCCTTAGCTGCTCCTTCACAATAATGTATCAGGTACATTAATTTCTGAGTATCATCCTCTATTCTGTCGGCAATGTTAGCCTTGAATCCCTTTATGAACGTCCAAAATTTCAAAGTACTTCCATCAAATTTCAAGACCTCTATCTTCGGTAAACTGGCTGTCATAACTAGTGACTTGATACTATCCACTTGTGCTTTGAGTTGCACGGATTCGCTTAAACGCGTATTGGTGTATTGGAGCCTTAACGAGGCTGCTGGTGTTGCGTCCCCAGATCGAGACCCAAATGACCCATTAGTCTCACTAACTTTTCTCACTTGGCTTAAAAAGTTCGGGGTTAACTGTAACAATCATTTACGTAGTTGAAGTCCTCTAATCTCTAACTCAATTTTTTCTACTTCTTTTTCCCTAGAAACTACTCCGTCTTCTATGCTACATCTAGTCTCTACATAGTTGTCTTTGGGGTTAAGCAAAACATTATCAAGAGCAAAATTTGAAGAAATAGGTGAATTCACCTTAGAAACTGAAGGAATAATATTTTCAGCATTAGAATTGTCTGTGTCTTGGGAACTGTCATCGTTGTACTTCATCCTTCTCGTTTTCGTCATCGTTGGGATGAATGAACCAGACTCGATTCCGACCAAATTAGTTATAGCAAGTATCTTCACCAATTAGGACCAAAGTTCAGAACTGTATCCACACCAATGAAACCAAAGTTGAGAACTGTTAAGTCCATCGAAGCGTCCAAATGACCCGATTGAGATACGCGCAAAATCGAAGATCCAAAACAACGATTTGTCTACAAAAGCGGTTCTCAACTTGTGAGGTGTCTAGGCGTTTAACGCGTCGTTCAAGAATGAAGTGGTAAAGGTTTCGATAGTACAAAGACAGCCGATGGCTGTGTCGAAATTGGACAGCAGTTTATGAACAATCGAAACTCGACCCAAGAGCAAACAATATGGAAACTGTTGCGTTTAAACAAATCCGCAACTGTGGATGACTGTTACAAAAATTAAAGTACAGTAATTTCAATGTGTGAAAATTGTTAAGAATACAACTGGTTATTGAATATAAATAAGTAGTATAAAACAATGAACAAAGATGTGGAAGGAGAGCGAGTAGGAACAATGTAAGACAAACTTAACAGATGGCTTGTTGACAAACTCAAAGAAGCCTGAAGAAGTTCAGAAAGAGCCAAAGAGATTCCATCCAATCACTGTTAGAGGAACATTCTTGAATGTCGACATGTAGCTTCCCTATTGGATGAATAAGAGGGCCCTAAATTAGTTATGATTACGCATTGCTAAGGAATTTAACACTGGGATGAAACATTTTTCCAGTGAGCCTCGATCTCCACTACCACACTAATTAAGGTCAGTCTATAGAGAATGCAATCTCAATATGGTTATATTTAACAAATCAAAAATCAAATGTACTTTTATTCCAAGAAATGCGTGAAATTCACCGGATATTACACCACTAGTGAAGTATACTTCAGACGAAATAGCATATAATGTTAAAAAACCAGCAAATTTACCCTTTCTTGTATTACTACTACTACTATCACTACTACTACTACTACTATTACTATTACTACTATTACTACTACTACTAGTACTACTACTACCATTAAAATAAATGAATCAATGAAAGTAAAGTAATAGATTGTTATTATATAAATGTATATCCTACTAACTGGTACATTGTGAACGAAAAGTTACCAACTATCAATGTTAAGATGATTGACATGAGAAAATAACAAAAGCGCTAATATAATCATCATTAATGGTAATCAGACAGTGGATTGAAGAGCTCTTCACTGACGAAATGAATATCTTAGTCACAATGGTACAAGATCATTCAAATCATTCCGAAGTGATTGCAGTTTGTCTAGTCCCTATTAAATATTAGTGAGAAATCTACACTAAATTATATTTCATTTAATTTAGCTGTTACTCTCAATATGTTGAATAAACAAAACAAAAGCGAAATTCATAGTACTGAAATTCAACAGACATATTTCTTCTTTCTTACTACTCAGTTGAATGTATCTCAATCCGTGTTGGTATTCATATTAAGACTCGAACTCAATATCTACTGTCTGAAAACTGAAACTAATATCGATTAAGCTACCAAGTTCACATAATGACTAGATTATTCTCATAGTTGAAATCATGAGTCAATTTGAAGGTGGACAACCATGGAAAACGTGGAAGCACTGGACGGCCGTTTCATTCTATTGTGGGACTCCTCAGGATTGTGCATCCACGATCCCGTCTCACGAGATTGGAACCCAGGACCTATCAGTCTCGCACGCAAGCGCTTAAACTCTAGACCACTGAGCTGACATCCAACAGTTTAATTTCATCTATTTATAATACAAATGTCTTAACAAGTAAATGTGTGTTCAGTATGTGCCAATATGTACATCTTAATATATTCCTTTATATGTTAATGATTTTACTAAAGTTCATTCCGAATGCAGACCTAAATTGTCCTCATCATTAAGGAGTGTTTGAATAATCCCATTGTTGATATTTAGAAATGAATTTTGATTATTCTAAGATACAGATATATATCCATGGTGAGATTGGAACGTAAGTCCTGGATTTCACTGCCAGCCACAAACCATTAATTATGAAGATCGCTCATGAGTGGTTTACTTACCTTATCATTATCAAGATTGTTTGAAATATTTTTTACTTGTTATCAGCCATCAAACATACTTATTAGATCTCCTCAATCTCAATAGTATATATTACGTTTAGTTAAGATGTTCGCATAATTTGACGGTAGTGTATTATATCACTGATTGTAGTCAACTCGGAAAGAATTTTGAAAATAACGAAGCACCACAGAATGAAATATTTTTGTATTTCATTGATAAGACTATTCATCAACAATGTTGTCCAAATACATATGAGCCACAGAAATCATTCCATTTGTGTAAGAGTTGTGACAATGCCCAGGTGCCCAGGCCGAAAAAGGTGATTTTCTTAAAGGGCTACTCCCCAAGCGTTTGACCTAAATGTCTGATCCACAAGGTAGTGGAATAGCGTTAGGAGATGCAGTCCCATGGTAGCCGGTAACTATTCATAGGTTTATACGCCTTTTGTTCACCCAGGATCTTGAAGCTCTGATACATCATTGATTGGTAATTAGGGATTTTGAACTCCCCCTAGGTAGATCTTGTATATCTATCAACCCGGTTAAAGAGTCAGACATTCGCTTTTCGTCCTTTCAGCTTTGTATATACATGTGGCCATGTGAGAGCATTTCGAGAGTGAGGGTGGATTCTCTCTACCGTCGACCGTACTAAGTGATTTCTGACCTCAACAATGTTATATATCAAACTATCTCAAATAGTATCAAATCCCCAATAGTGAAATATAATTCCATGATTGATCAACACTCACTTGTACACTTCCAAAGCATTATTTACCCCCTTGTTTTTTCTCATCTTCTTCCATTCTTTCTCTTTTTTTTCTAAATTTCATCTTTTAGATATTTGAGACAGAAATTAAAGTAGATCAAGATTTATGGGAAAATATTCAAGATGAATTAAGATTTGAATTATCATATTAGATTCATCATTAAATGAATCCTTCTTTTTGGGTTGGATTGTTTGGTTGTTTGTTTGTTATGTGTTCAACATTGACAATTGAATCTGTTGAGTTCTGTTTTAAACTGTGTACAAAAAAACGAAAAAAAGTAAAAGAAAAGAAGAAAAGAAAGAAGAAAAAAGAGAAGAAGAAACACTCCTAGTGATAAAACATAATTGATTAAATTATTTACCCGGTCAATATTATCATTTTAAAGATTACGTAATCATTTGATTATTGTATTTATATTCTTTTGAAAAATGTTTCTCCCACCCCCTTTTTCTTCTTTTTTTTAATTTTTTGTTGTTTGTATTTTTAAAAAAATAAAGAAAATCGTCCAATGAATGGGTTATGTGATTGTGAATTCTTCTTTATTTTTCAATCATTGTATTCACCTGATTGATAATTGGTTAGCAAAAATATATATGTACATTGATTATATACAGAGATGTGGATTGTTTTGTCTCTATGAAGAAATACTTACCTTACCTTAGTTACACACACACACTCATGCACACAGGTATACTTAGTAATATCATTCACTATACTCATTCTATGAATGAATACTTTCCTTTTAGTGTATCTTTGACAATGTTGTTTTGTTTTTAATCAAAATCAACATGAAACTCAGTTTTCAACATCAAATGTCATAACTCTTCCAGATGAAGACCTTCTAACTCCTAGGGCAAACTTTAAATGATTTTTTCTGTTCAGCATTTTTTAGCTAGTCAGTTTCCTACGGGATGGGGGCACTAACACTACTACTACTACTACTACTACTACTACTACTACTACTACTGCCATTAAAGTAAATGAATCAATGAAAGTAAAGTAATAGATTGTTAATATATAAATGTATATCCTGCTAACTGGTACATGGTTAACGTAAAGTTACCAACTATCAATGTTAAGATGATTGACATGAGAAAACAACAAAAACGCTAATATAATCATCATTAATGGTAACCAGACAGTGAATTGAAGAGCTCTTCACTAACGAACTGAACGGCTTAGTCACTATGGTATGAGGTGATGATATGATTTATATATTTAAGATTTTCATTCAAATCATTCTAAAGTGATTGCAGTTTCTTTAATCTCTATTAAATATTACTGGGAATCAATTATAAATCAGTGTGAAATATACACCACCACCATGAAAAACCTGGAAGCACTGGAAGGTCGTTTCGTCTTATTGTGGGACTCATCAGAAGTGCGAATCCACGATCCCACCTAGCGAGATTCGACACCAGGACCTATCAGTCGCTCGTGCGAGCGCTTAACCTCTAGACCATTAAGCCGGCATTCAACAGTGCTCTCAGGTTTTCCTTGATGGTCATTCGAAATACAAAGTGGAACTGTCATCATCATTATTAAGTGTTTGAATAATCCCATTGTTGATATTTAGAAATGAATTTTGATTACTCGAAGATACAGATATATATTCAGGGTGAGATTGGAACGTAAGTCTTGGATTTCACTACCCAGCCACAATCCATTAATTATGAAAATGGCTCTTGAGTTGTTTTTTTTTACCTTATCATTATCAACATGGTTTGCAATATTTTTACTTGATATCAGTCATCAAAGATATTTATTAGATCTCCTCAATCTCACTAGTATATATTACGTTTAGTTAAGATGTCTGTATCATCTGACAGTAGTGTAGTATATCACTGATTGTAGTCAACTCGAAAAGAATTTTGAAAATAACGAAGCACCACAGAATGAAATATTTTTGTATTTCACTGATAAGGCTATTCATCAACAATGTTCTCCGAATACATATGAGCCACATAAATCATTCGATTTGTGTAAGAGTTGTGACAATGCTTAAGGTGGCTTTCTTAAAGAGCTACTCCCCAAACCTTTGACCTAACGGTCTGACCCACAAGGCAGTAGAATAACATAAGGAGATGCAGTCCCATGGTAGCCTGTAACTACCAATAAGTTTATACGCCTTTCGTTCACTCAGGATCCTGGAGCTCATGTACATCATTGATTGTGAATTAGGGGTTTCAACACCCCTTAGGTAGATCCTGGATATCCACCGACCCGGTTAGAGAGTCGAACAATTGTTTTTCGTCCTTTCATTGTTGTTAATAACACTCTTGCCCCGAGAAGTCAGTAAATAGGACTTACCTGGCATTGGTTGTACACGTGTGGCCATGTGACCATTAAAGTAGATCAAGATTTATGGGAAAGTATTCAAGATGAATTAAGATTCGAATTATCATATTAGATTCATCATTAAATGAATCCTTTTTTGGATTGGATTGTTTGGTTGTTTGTTTGTTATGTAATTAACATTGACAATTGAATCTATTGAGTTTTGTTTTAAACTGTGTACAGAAAAGAAAAAAAGAAAAAAAGAAAAGAGAAAAAAGGGAACTTAAAAAGAAGAAAAAGAAACACCCTTAGTGATAAAACATAATTGATTGAATTATTTTTCTGGTCAATATTATCATTTTAAAAATTACGTAATCATTTGATTATTGTTGTACTTAAATACTTTGCAAACATGGTTCTCCCCTCCCCCGTTTTCTTCTTTTTTTTAATTTTTTGTTTTTTGTATTTTTTTTAATACAAGAAAACCATCGAATGAATGGGTTATGTTATGTGGTTGTGGATTGTTCTTTTCTTTTTTATTTTTTTTTCAATCATTATATTAATATTATTGATAATTGGTAACAAAAATGTATACGCACATTCATTATATATAGAGAGATATGGATAGTTTTGTTCATTTTGTCTCTATGTAGAAATACTTATTTACTTACTTAGTTACTTACCCACACACACACACACATACACACATGTACACTTAGTAATATCATTCATTATACTCATTCTATGAACGGATACTTTCCTTTTAGTGTATCTTTGACAATGTTGTTTTATTTTTTAATCAAATAAAAGCTGGAACTGAGTTTTCATTATGAAATCTCATAAGTCTTTTAAATGAAGACCTTCTAACTCTTAGGGCAGAGTTTAAATGATTGTTTCTGGTTAGCGTTTTTTTAGCGAGTTAGCTTTTCTAAGGTAGGGGGTCGCTAACCCTCCTCCTTTACCCGGGCTTGGAACCGGCAGTAACTCTAGAAGAGCTACAGGCGGAGTTATGCTTATTTTGATGTCGATATATAAAACATTAACAACAGTTCGGTGAATGGTAACGGTCGGGACTTATTTATGGATTATTACTACATTCTATTCTTATTGGATAATTATGAAATAACTAGATTACATAAGAATGTATATTCATATCCCTTTTATCATAAACTTACATTTGATCTCCATTGGCTACTGTTATGTGAGTTACCATTCTCAATTTATACCCAATTTATTAACTACTGTCTATCACATTCATACACAGTTTGAGCTTGATCTTGTATAATTATCATTTTTGTTAATTTTATGATGTAATGTGGTCTGATCTACCTGTATATAAACCACGTGCGTACGAAATATATGATTCATACAGTGGAGGTTAACATTTGTGTTCTGGACTGAACGAGTTGAGTAAGACAACAAATTACTATACAGAGGACCAGTAAGGACCCTGAGTTGGAGGAAGGCTGCTAGTGCTGGCTAACGCACCGTTGGTTTAGTATAGGGACAAGGTCATAAAAGGCGGTGTTCTGATTTGTGATCTTGTCACGTATTATTTGGCAGGATCATAAGACATAACGAGAAACGAACATCTTGCAAAAACGTTTGCTACAGTAAAGTCATTCATCAATCAATGAAATTTTGAGGTTTCACTTCTTTACCATCATAAGTATTAATAGTTAATCTACAATAGATAATAAAAGAATATTCGAATATCAGTATAAAGTAATGGAGGTTGTTGAGTTTTTACCGAGATAATGAACCGATCGTGTCAACAAAGTTAAATTCCAGGTCAGTGATCTAGAGGTTAGGCGTTTATGCGAGACCAAAGGTCTTGTATTCGATTCCCTTTGGTGGGTAATCGTGGGTGCGCACTGTTGGGGAGTCTTATACTAGAACGAAACAGTTGTTCACTGCTTCCTGGTTTTCAATGGTGGTCTGACACTGGTCGGTTCATGATCTCAAGCAAAAGATCTTGAATGGTTAATCTAGAATTCAGTGATTAGATGTAATTACATATTATTGAGTTTTCAACAGACTTTTCTTGTTACTTTAATAAGATTGATTGAAAGATACTCTTTACAAATTATAAATTAATCTGAAGAAAATCATACTGATTAGCATCCCTAGCGAGATGGTAAACTATAGTAAGAGCGAGAGCGAAAGAGAGAGAAAAAAGATGTGATGAAATTTGAAGTTTATCAATAAGGGCGAGGATTAATAAACACATTCATCAGGAACGTAGGCACCAAAAGGAATAAAACTTTTCAAGATATGAATTTTGTCTGATTTATCGTCTGTCTCTTCACCCCTACAATCAATTGAAACGAAATTTTCTGACTTTCATTGAAGTCGACATACAACTAATACGGTGATTTTTAGAATTTAGTAACAATTATCTATCCTTATTTTCCCAGTCATTTTATCTCACTCGAATTCCCGGGTTAAAAAAACTTCTTAGGAAGGTTTTAGTGGGCGTGAGATTTCTATCAGAATGAGAAATTGTTAAACAGAAATGGGCGACAGAAAATGTGAGGCAATAAGACTGAATGGCGTTTCACTAAATGTAGTGAGAATGTGATGGTACCTTAAGTGAATTTGTATTTACTTGCTACAAAATAGATGATTTGATTAGAGATTAGTGAAACGTTTATATATAAAGATAAACGAAGTCCTATGTTATATTTTCTTGTACCTAATTGGAATAAAATTAAAATCTCTCTAAAGCAATAAGGATGTTGATTTCCTGGTAGTAAATGGCTGCATTTTCGAAAAAGAGAAAATTACTAATTATAATATTTGAAGGGAGTAAAGTAGTTGAACGCGTCGACAACTCCACTTATCTTGGAAGTCTGATCAGCCTAAATGGGTTGG